AAAAAAAACAAACAAAACTTAATTCTAAAAAGGCAAACAAATAAATAAAACTATTCAAAACAACACAAACAAAAAACCTATTCAGAACGCAAACCAAATCTACATACTCAAAATCAACAAAAAAAAAAACAACCACAAACCAAACTAAAAAGCAAACAGAAAAAACATCAAACACAAAACAAAAAACACCCAAAAAATACGCAAATTTTTAGCACAAAAGCATTCTTACACTCTCGGCGCCGCAGTAAGTTCCATCTAAAGCAGGTCCGGCCTTGAAGTAACCGATTCTGTGCGGACTCCGGCACATGACGGTGTTACAGACGCTGTGTAACTGTAACAGTTTTGTTGTGAGATTAATTAGATGGAGAGAAAAAATACTGTTGTAACTGTAACTTTGTTTTAATGGTGCGTTTCTTGTAATGTAACTGAAGTAGTTTTTATTGTTGAGATAGAGATGGCGAGAGAAAATGCTGCTGTAACTGAAATGTCGTTTGTTGTAATGTAACTTGTTGTGAGTGAGATATTGATAGTGGAAGAAAATACAGCTGTAACTGTATTTTTTTCTTTCTTTCTTTGTTTTTCTTTTTTTTGTAATATTAGCTTGTTAGTGAGGCTGGAGGGTATGGAATGAGTGATGGACGTTGATGTAACCTGCAATATTTTGAAAAGTGAATAGCGAAAATAAAATGTCGCTGTATATTGGGTTTATAGTGAGGGCAGGTGAATTAAGTTGCTGTAACTGTAATGTTTTTGGATTTGTCGTGAGATATAGATGCCGGAAGAAACTAACTGTAACTGTAATATTGTGATTTTTGTAATGGTAGTGAGGCTGAAGAGTACGGAGAGTGTTAAGGATGTTGTTGTAACTGATGTCATGCGGTTGTAATAATGGGATTTTGTTGTGAGATATAGACGGTGAGAGAAAATGTTGGTGTAACTGTAAAATTGTTTGTTTTGATGTAGTTGTAATGTTGGGTTGGCAGTGAGGCTGGGAGGTATGGAGAGAGTGACGGACGTTGGTGTAACTGCGATACAGTGAGATATGAACAACGAAAAAAAAACATTGTTTTAGCTGTAATGTTATCCTCCCCTCATCCCCCTTCCCTCCCTCCACCCTCCCTCACCTCCTTTCCCCCTCACCTCCCACCCACCCACCCCTCTCCCCCTCCCTCCCCCCTTCACCTCCCCTCTCCCTCCCTCCCCCCTTCACCTCACCTGCGCCAACGACTCGTTATAGAGTGTAGCGTCGTTATCCCTCAGGAAGACCCGGCACTGGTCGTAGGCGTCCCAGGTCTGTCCGGGCAGCTGGTCGTAGACGGAGTGGTCGTGCTTGGGGATTTCGGGGGGGTTGTCGTTCAAGCAGGGGGCGCTGGTGGGGGGGGAGGGGGAGAGTTAGAGATGGATAGAGAAAGATGCTGAATTAATGATAATGATAATAATAATAATAATAATAATAACAGAAAGAGAAAGCCTCTGTCTCCCCCAAGATAGATAGATAGATAGATAGATAGAGGAAAGGGGGGGGGAGTTAGAGGTGGATAGAGAAAGATGCTGAATTATTAATAATGATAATAATAATAATAATAATAATAATAATAATAATAATAATGATGATGATAATAATAACAAAAAGAGAAAGCTCTGTCTCCCCCCTCTCTATCTATCTATCTATCTATCTCTTTGGGAGGGAGGAAAAGAAAGAGGGTAGGAGAGAGAGGTGAGAAGGGAGGATGATAAGAGCAAGAAAGAAAGGGGGTGAAAAAAGAGAAAAGAATGAAAGGAAGACAATATGGACAACGAGAGAGACAAAGAAAAGGAAAAGAAAAGAGAAATAAAAAACGAACATATGCACAGATACATAGATCGACATATACACACAACGACAAAAATAATTGTCGCAAACATATTAAGAGATATTATTTTTTATAACTATCTAATGATACAATAAAAGAAAAACAGAGAACATGATATTGTAGACATTTTCTTAATATTCAAAACTGAGAATAAATAGTAATGATGCTAAAAATATAATAGACCAGCAAATAAACAAGTAGATGAATAAAATGAAAAACAAAAACAAAAACAAAACAAATCAAGCGAATAAATAAACAAACAAAAACAACCCTTACCTGTTTTTTGTTGTTGTTTTTTTTCTCCACGACCATGAAACTAAAATAAACAAGCACGACTACCACGACCACACCCCTACCCACAAAACAAAAACAAAAACAAACAAACAAAACAAACTCACGACAGCGTCTCGACGACCTCCCGCGAGCAGGACGACCAGTTGGTTTCGCCGCTAGTGGAGCGCGACGCCGACATCACGAAGCCGTTCTTGGGGCAGGCGTTCCCGTAGCCGTCGTGGAGCATGCCCAGGCTGTGGGCAGGGGCATGGGGGTTAGAGGGGGTTAGGAGGGGGTTGGGAAGGTTGAGAAGGGGGAGGGGAAGGGGGGGAGGTTTAAGAAGGATGGGGGTTGGGGGTAAGGGGAGGGTAAAGAGGTTGGGGGTAGGGGAAGGGAGGGTAGGTGGGGGTTGGGTAGGAGAGAATAGGTAGGGGTTGGGGTAGGGGAAGGGAGGGTAGGTGGGGGTTGGGTAGGAGAGGGTAGGTAGGGGTTGGGGTAGGGGAAGGGAGAGTAGGTGGGGGTTGGGGTAAGGGGAGGGGTAACGAGGTTGGGGTTGGGTAGGGGGAGGGGTAAAGAGGTTGGGCTAGGGGAGGGTAGGTGGGGGTTGGGTAAGGGGAGGGGTAAGGAAGTTGGGGGTTGGGTAGGGGGAGGGTAAAGAGGTTGGGAAGTGGGAAGGGTGGGGAATTAAGTATGGGGAGGAAGAATGGGGGTGAGTGAGAGGGGTTGGGCAGGGGGAGGGTCAAGAAGATGGGGTAAAAGGTTAAAAGGGTTTTCTTTGTTTTGTGACGGGGTTTTGGTGCTTATTCTGTTTCATTTACTTTATTCTACCTTTTTTTCTTTTTCGTTCGTTCTTTGTTTTTACATCTCTCTCTCTATCTTTTTTTCTTCTTTTTCGTTCGTTCTTTGTTTTTACATCTCTCTCTCTCTCTCTCTCTCTCTCTCTCTCTCTCTCTCTCTCTCTAGATAGATAGATAGATAGATAGATAGATAGATAGATAGATAGATAGATAGATAGATAGATAGATAGATAGATAGATAGATAGATAGATAGATAGATAGATAGATAGATAGATAGATAGATAGATAGATAGATAGATAGATAGATAGATAGATAGATAGATAGATAGATAGATAGATAGATAGATAGATAGATAGATAGATAGATAGATAGATAGATAGATAGATAGATAGATAGATAGATAGATAGATAGATAGATAGATAGATAGATAGATAGATAGATAGATAGATAGATAGATAGATAGATAGATAGATAGATAGATAGATAGATAGATAGATAGATAGATAGATAGATAGATAGATAGATAGATAGATAGATAGATAGATAGATAGATAGATAGATAGATAGATAGATAGATAGATAGATAGATAGATAGATAGATAGATAGATAGATAGATAGATAGATAGATAGATAGATAGATAGATAGATAGATAGATAGATAGATAGATAGATAGATAGATAGATAGATAGATAGATAGATAGATAGATAGATAGATAGATAGATAGATAGATAGATAGATAGATAGATAGATAGATAGATAGATAGATAGATAGATAGATAGATAGATAGATAGATAGATAGATAGATAGATAGATAGATAGATAGATAGATAGATAGATAGATAGATAGATAGATAGATAGATAGATAGATAGATAGATAGATAGATAGATAGATAGATAGATAGATAGATAGATAGATAGATAGATAGATAGATAGATAGATAGATAGATAGATAGATAGATAGATAGATAGATAGATAGATAGATAGATAGATAGATAGATAGATAGATAGATAGATAGATAGATAGATAGATAGATAGATAGATAGATAGATAGATAGATAGATAGATAGATAGATAGATAGATAGATAGATAGATAGATAGATAGATAGATAGATAGATAGATAGATAGATAGATAGATAGATAGATAGATAGATAGATAGATAGATAGATAGATAGATAGATAGATAGATAGATAGATAGATAGATAGATAGATAGATAGATAGATAGATAGATAGATAGATAGATAGATAGATAGATAGATAGATAGATAGATAGATAGATAGATAGATAGATAGATAGATAGATAGATAGATAGATAGATAGATAGATAGATAGATAGATAGATAGATAGATAGATAGATAGATAGATAGATAGATAGATAGATAGATAGATAGATAGATAGATAGATAGATAGATAGATAGATAGATAGATAGATAGATAGATAGATAGATAGATAGATAGATAGATAGATAGATAGATAGATAGATAGATAGATAGATAGATAGATAGATAGATAGATAGATAGATAGATAGATAGATAGATAGATAGATAGATAGATAGATAGATAGATAGATAGATAGATAGATAGATAGATAGATAGATAGATAGATAGATAGATAGATAGATAGATAGATAGATAGATAGATAGATAGATAGATAGATAGATAGATAGATAGATAGATAGATAGATAGATAGATAGATAGATAGATAGATAGATAGATAGATAGATAGATAGATAGATAGATAGATAGATAGATAGATAGATAGATAGATAGATAGATAGATAGATAGATAGATAGATAGATAGATAGATAGATAGATAGATAGATAGATAGATAGATAGATAGATAGATAGATAGATAGATAGATAGATAGATAGATAGATAGATAGATAGATAGATAGATAGATAGATAGATAGATAGATAGATAGATAGATAGATAGATAGATAGATAGATAGATAGATAGATAGATAGATAGATAGATAGATAGATAGATAGATAGATAGATAGATAGATAGATAGATAGATAGATAGATAGATAGATAGATAGATAGATAGATAGATAGATAGATAGATAGATAGATAGATAGATAGATAGATAGATAGATAGATAGATAGATAGATAGATAGATAGATAGATAGATAGATAGATAGATAGATAGATAGATAGATAGATAGATAGATAGATAGATAGATAGATAGATAGATAGATAGATAGATAGATAGATAGATAGATAGATAGATAGATAGATAGATAGATAGATAGATAGATAGATAGATAGATAGATAGATAGATAGATAGATAGATAGATAGATAGATAGATAGATAGATAGATAGATAGATAGATAGATAGATAGATAGATAGATAGATAGATAGATAGATAGATAGATAGATAGATAGATAGATAGATAGATAGATAGATAGATAGATAGATAGATAGATAGATAGATAGATAGATAGATAGATAGATAGATAGATAGATAGATAGATAGATAGATAGATAGATAGATAGATAGATAGATAGATAGATAGATAGATAGATAGATAGATAGATAGATAGATAGATAGATAGATAGATAGATAGATAGATAGATAGATAGATAGATAGATAGATAGATAGATAGATAGATAGATAGATAGATAGATAGATAGATAGATAGATAGATAGATAGATAGATAGATAGATAGATAGATAGATAGATAGATAGATAGATAGATAGATAGATAGATAGATAGATAGATAGATAGATAGATAGATAGATAGATAGATAGATAGATAGATAGATAGATAGATAGATAGATAGATAGATAGATAGATAGATAGATAGATAGATAGATAGATAGATAGATAGATAGATAGATAGATAGATAGATAGATAGATAGATAGATAGATAGATAGATAGATAGATAGATAGATAGATAGATAGATAGATAGATAGATAGATAGATAGATAGATAGATAGATAGATAGATAGATAGATAGATAGATAGATAGATAGATAGATAGATAGATAGATAGATAGATAGATAGATAGATAGATAGATAGATAGATAGATAGATAGATAGATAGATAGATAGATAGACAAACAATATAACAACTAAACAACCCCCTCACGACTCATAACTCACTTGTGACCCATCTCATGAGCCATGACGTAGACGGAGGCGAACCCAGCCGACGGGTACGGTTTGCCCCAGGTGTCGGTGGCACCCAGTTCCACGATGACGGCGCTGTAGCCCGGATGGCACACGCCCCTCACGGCAGCTAGGCCTGGTCAGGTGGGCGGGTGGGGTGGGAGGAGGAGGAGGAAGGGGGGGTTATTGTATTTTTTATTGCCAGGTGGATGTGGGAGAGGTAGTTTGTAGTAAGAGTAGTAGAAGTAATAGTAGTTGCGATAGTAGCGGCAGTAGTAGTAATAGTTGTAGAAGGTTTTGTATTTGTTGTTGTAGTAGTGGTAGGGTAGTAGTAATGGTTGTTGTTGTATTAGTAACTGTAGCAGTAGTAGTTGTAGTAGTAGTAGTAGTAGCAACAGCAGCAGTAGTCGTAGTAATAATAGCAGCAGTGATAACAACTATAGTAGCATTAATCTTTTTAGTCATACACCTGTAGAAATTGCTTTAGTGTCGGTAGTAGTACCCGATTAGCAAGACAATTATTATCACTAATTTTCATAATCACCACAACCTTTTATAATCACCTCCCCTAGTTACTTTACCACAATAAAATAGTGTGATAAATTGTGACATATAATAATAGACCTACATATCCTAATAATGATACACAGACACTCACCCATTGTAGAGTAGGATGTTCGGCCGTCCTTCTTATGAACACTATAGAAGTTCAGTCTGGAAAGAGGAAAGGACAGGAATGAGGGATATTTTATATACATTATCTATATATTTTATATACATTATCTATATTTATATACATTATCATATTATACTATATCTATATATATATATATATATATATATATATATATATATATATATATATATATATATATATATATATATATATATATATATATATATATATATATATATATATATATATATATATATATATATATATATATATATATATATATATATATATATATATATATATATATATATATATATATATATATATATATATATATATATATATATATATATATATATATATATATATATATATATATATATATATATATATATATATATATATATATATATATATATATATATATATATATATATATATATATATATATATATATATATATATATATATATATATATATATATATATATATATATATATATATATATATATATATATATATATATATATATATATATATATATATATATATATATATATATATATATATATATATATATATATATATATATATATATATATATATATATATATATATATATATATATATATATATATATATATATATATATATATATATATATATATATATATATATATATATATATATATATATATATATATATATATATATATATATATATATATATATATATATATATATATATATATATATATATATATATATATATATATATATATATATATATATATATATATATATATATATATATATATATATATATATATATATATATATATATATATATATATATATATATATATATATATATATATATATATATATATATATATATATATATATATATATATATATATATATATATATATATATATATATATATATATATATATATATATATATATATATATATATATATATATATATATATATATATATATATATATATATATATATATATATATATATATATATATATATATATATATATATATATATATATATATATATATATATATATATATATATATATATATATATATATATATATATATATATATATATATATATATATATATATATATATATATATATATATATATATATATATATATATATATATATATATATATATATATATATATATATATATATATATATATATATATATATATATATATATATATATATATATATATATATATATATATATATATATATATATATATATATATATATATATATATATATATATATATATATATATATATATATATATATATATATATATATATATATATATATATATATATATATATATATATATATATATATATATATATATATATATATATATATATATATATATATATATATATATATATATATATATATATATATATATATATATATATATATATATATATATATATATATATATATATATATATATATATATATATATATATATATATATATATATATATATATATATATATATATATATATATATATATATATATATATATATATATATATATATATATATATATATATATATATATATATATATATATATATAATGAGCTTCTCTCGGTCGCCGCCGTAGTGGGGGAGGGTGGAGGGCTGCTCGGCCATGACCTCGATGTGGTTGATGACCAGGTGGATCTTCTGGCCGAGGGACGGGTGGTGGAAGAGGGCCTGGATCTGCGGGGGGAGGGAGGGAGGGTGGAGTGGATGTGGATGAGGATATGTGTGCGTGTGTGTGTGTTGTGTGTGTGTGTGTGTGTGTGTGTGTGTGTGTGTGTGTGTGTGTGTGTGTGTGTGTGTGTGTGTGTGTGTGTGTGTGTGTGTGTGTGTGTGTGAATGTATGTGCGTACATACAAACAGTCAAAAAAAAAGTTCTTGGAAAACACTTAACCAATGACCACCTTGCAAAATTAAACAAACGAATAAATATAACAGTCACACACACACACACACACACACACACACACACACACACACACACACACACACACACACACACACACACACACACACATGACACCAACTTGAACATTTTCTTTAAGCACTGCTCATTTCCTTTCAACTCCGAGACTCACCCCATTTACGTAGCCGAGGACGACATCGGTAAGGGCGGCCTGCGACCCGAAGTAAGGCAGAAACAGGTCGTGGGCGGCCTGGTCTACAAACACGCCCAATTCCACGGTTTTTCCTGCGTTGCGCTTCGTGGGCGTCTTTTGTCGGGGGAGAGGCAGAGAGAGCTGGGTTATTTGTATGTATTTTCTTTTTCTTTTTCTTTTTCTTTTTATTCTTTATTTTTTTCTGAGGTTGGTTGAATTTAATTTTCTTCTATTTTTTTCTAAGAGAGAGGAGCAGAAAAGAGAGAAAGGGCAATATTTTTTTCTGGTAGTGACAGAGATAGCGGGGTTATTCTAGGTTACTTGTGTTTTTCTTTTCTTTTTTCTTTTCTGTAAGACTATTCCATACATCAGGCAATGATATGCATTATTTTCTCTATCTATCTATCTATCCATCCATATATATATATATATATATATATATATATATATATATATATATATATATATATATATATCCATCATATTAACTATCCATCTATCTATCTATCCATCCAATTAATTATCCATCTATCTATCTGTCCATCCAATTAACTATCCATCTATCTATTTATCCATCTATTTATCTATCTATCTATCTATCCATCCAATTAACTACCCATCTATCTATCTGACTATCTACCTACCTCCTATAAACATTACCAACTGTTTAGATGATCGCTAATGAAGTTGTAATTATCTATAATCATCAAGTGCTTATGTTTATGTTATCGAACTGCATTAAGCAACAACAAAAATATGAAAATAGGAATAACTTCACAGATAGATAAATGAATGATAATTATTATAATTAGGAATCGTCATTAATCTTTAAATTGTGATTTTAATTTACTTTGTTTCAACCAACCCTTCCCCCCTCTCCTTAATCCGCCCCACCCCCTACCCCCCCACCCACTCCCCCTTTTTCCCTCCTCCTCCTCCTCCTCCTCCCACCTCCCACCTCCCACCTACCACTCCCCCCCTTTCCCTATACATACCACCCGCGGTTCCCGGTCGAACCCTTGCATCGGCTTCGGTTCCCGGTTCAGCTCTGTTTCGGGTAATGCTGGTCCTTGTCCCGGTTCTCTCATGGGCTTTGGTTCCCGGTCTATTCCTTGCATAGGTTTCGGTTCCCGGTCCATGCCTGGAGGACCTCTCACAACCCGGTTCATCGGTCTCGGTTCCCGGTCGAACCCTTGCATCGGCTTTGGTTCCCGGTTCAGCTCTGTTTCAGGTAATGCTGGTCCTTGTCCCGGTTCTCTCATGGGCTTCGGTTCCCGGTCGATCCCCTGCATAGGCTTGGGTTCCCGGTCCATGCCCGGTGGTCCCCTAACAACCCAGTTCATCGGTCTCGGTTCCCGGTCGAACCCTTGCATCGGTTTCGGTTCCCGGTTCAGCTCTGTTTCGGGCAATACTGGTTCTTGTCCCGGTTCTCTCATGGGCTTCGGTTCCCGGTCGATTCCTTGCATAGGTTTCGGTTCCCGGTCCATGCCTGGAGGACCTCTCACAACCCGGTTCATTGGTCTCGGTTCCCGGTCGAACCCTTGCATTGGTTTTGGTTCCCGGTTCAGTTCTGCTTCGGGCAATACTGGTTCTTGTCCCGGTTCTCTCATGGGCTTCGGTTCCCGGTCGATTCCTTGCATAGGCTTGGGTTCCCGGTCCATTCCCGGTAGTCCTCTGAGAACCCGATTCATCGGTCTCGGTTCCCGGTCGAAACCTTGCATCGGTTTCGGTTCCCGGTTCAGCTCTGATTCGGGTAACTCTGGTCCTTGTCCCGGTTCTCTCATGGGCTTCGGTTCCCGGTCCATTCCTTGCATAGGCTTGGGTTCCCGGTCCATTCCCGGCTGTCCTCTCACATCCCGGTTCATCGGTCTCGGTTCCCGGTCGAACCCTTGCATCGGTTTCGGTTCCCGGTTCAGCTCTGCTTCGGGTAATGCTGGTTCTTGTCCCGGTTCTCTCATGGGCTTCGGTTCCCGGTCGATTCCTTGCATAGGCTTGGGTTCCCGGTCCATTCCCGGCGGTCCTCTGACAACCCGGTTCATCGGTCTCGGTTCCCGGTCGAACCCTTGCATCGGTTTCGGTTCCCGGTCCCCTGTTGTGGAAAACGTGATGAATATTAATAGCCAGACTATATTTCTAAGTGATGTTAAAAACCATCATATGTTTCCTATATTAATAATCATCCTAATAATAATGACTTTCCTAAATTATCATATTAACGACCAGGGACCATTCTAATATCAATAACCGTCCCATATCCCTACATTAACTATCCTAATATTAATGAAAACCCAATATCTTTATTCTAATAACATCCTATATCCTTACATTAATGATCATCCTAATGTTAACAAGCCTTCTATATCCTTATATTAATAATCCTCTAATATCAATAACTCTTCCTTTATTTCTCTGTTAACAACCACCCTAATATTAACGACCATTCCATAATCGATGATTATCCTCATATTCCTGTATTAATAAACATCAAGTTAATATCTTATATTCCAATATTAATAAGCATCTTATATTATCGTATTGATAACCATTTTCCTATTTCTGTTTTAATAACCATCCTATCAATATCCTGTATTCCAATACAATGCACCCACGTCGTTTGCAACATCCCACTGAAAATAAAGTATAAAAGTCACGAGAACATGGCACTGAGTCAGCAATGCAGCAGTTTGCACAGCTTGCATTCATCGACCCACTCTGCAACATACAATACACTGAATCCTAAACTTGCTCCAGTCATGCACGGTACTGCAACAAACATTTGTTTCATCCTATTTATACTCGAGCAACAAAAATCGACTAGCGTGCAATATAATTTTTTTGCAAAGCCGACGCGTGAATTTAGATTTAGATTGCAACGAATGAGGTTCATTTCATTCGCTATTTATGTTGCAATCATTAACTTGCAATTATTTGGTTTCTTGCCTTTTATCATTCAAGTATTGCTTTTGATCAGACAATGATATATATTTCAAACAATGATTTCGAACTTGAGCCCTAAAGAATATATATATTCTTCGAATAATTTCCTATTTGAACGAAACAAATATTGATTTTTGCATGTCTTTATCTATCCAATCCCTTGCAAATCAAATAGCTTTTTTATTGCCTTTTTTAAACCGGTTTTTTTTTCAACATTCAAGAGGATATACATAAGTTGAAGCAATATTTAGCCACGACTTTTTGATATGCCATTGTAATGTTCGGTCGTAAAATGATAGGCCTATTTTGTAGTGTAACGTTTTACATATTTGTTAACCGCATAGGCTTTGCATATATATAATATTAAGAGGTGGCTGATTACAGAGAAATTAATCCGCCCAGATTATGCTTTTAGATAAAATAACGAAGGAAAGAGCAAGAAAACACGTGATCACGCTCTTCTCATTTCCGAGAAGCAAAATCTGGCAACTCACTCTGGACTCTGGAATCACTCCGATTTGCCAATCCCTTTTGAAAAAAAAATATATATAATGAAATACGGTGTTGAAGGTAGATCATTTCAGTTTAAAAGTGTATATATATGTGTGTGTGTGAAGTTCAAAAAAATACAAAGCAAGAAAACATAGAGAAGAGAATTGGTAGCTCGGAATGCTCCACAATATTGGGTGAGTTGCCAGATCTTTCTTTGTTCAGCCTTTTATCCTTCACATTAGGCTATATCATAAACACAAACGCATTATTACAGGTGCACAAATATGACACGAAAACAACTTGCAGTGAATATAAACCGTTACGTAATCTGTCAAGTTTATAAATACACACTCTGATGATAATAATTCATAATAGTAATAATTTAATCAAATTCCATATGTTACAACGGGTATTCTTGATGTGACATGCTTTCTGCTTCATGTTGTTTCTAAATTTCAACTTAGATGCAAGGAATGGCCGGGGTGACCATCCACTGGCGGCGAGGGATTCGAACGCGGGTCAGCAAGATTCCCACACGAGATCGCTACCGCTGCAACACAGCACACTAATTCTGAAGAGGATATTCGCACTGATTCGAAAATTCATCATCTCTACCAATTTTAATCGTCTTTGATACCCTGTCGCCATGCAGATTAGAAGAAAACAAGCTACTGGAAAAGCATAGACGACGAAAACAATGAAAAAAATGGGGCGGTTAGGACGTGACGGGGTTTTGACATTACTAACCGGGAGCGACGTGACCCTTCTGCCTCGTGACGGAGATCGCTTAAGGAACGAGAATTTCGGAGATAAAAAAATAAATCTGGAGAAAATATCTCATCGAGTTCATGGAATCAAGAAAAAAAAACGATAATCCCTTCTTTTAATCACAAGTTCCGCTCGTCAGCTGATAATAATAATAATAATAATAATAATAATAATAATAATAATAATAATAACAATGATAATAATGATAATTATAACAATAAATAACAACAACAATAATAATAATATCAATAGAATAAGTAGTAATGGATGCGAAATGTATTTTTTATCTTAATAATCGTAATCATGATAATTATTATTATTATCATTATTATTATTATTATTATTATTATTATTATTATTATTATTATCATTATTATTATTATTGTTATTATTATTATTACTATTATCACTGTTACTGTTATTATTAATATTATCACTATTATTATCATTGATATTATTATTTTACTGATCATGATAATAATAATAATAATAACAACAACAACAACAACAATAATAATAACAATGATGATAATAACAAAAATAGTAATAGCAGTAGAAATTTTTTTTACCAGGAGGGCTTGGCGTGGAGTCAAAATTCACGGGTTTCGGCTCCCGGTGAAATCCTTCCATCGGTTTAGGTTCCCTGTCACTCAACGGGTCTGAAAAAGAAAAGATAAAGAGATGAAATGAAGGATACTGCACGGCAAAGCAGTCGCCTATATTCACGAAAATGACAAAACAAAGAGAAATAGATGAAACGAACGATACTAAATGGCAAAGCAGTCGACTGTATTCACGAAAATGACAAAACAAAGAGAAATAGATGAAACGAACGATACTAAATGGCAAAGCAGTCGCCTATATTCACGAAAATGACAAAACAAAGAGAAATAGATGAAACGAACGATACTAAATGGCAAAGCAGTCGACTGTATTCACGAAAATGACAAAACAAAGAGAAATAGATGAAACGAACGATACTAAATGGCAAAGCAGTCGCCTATATTCACGAAAATGACAAAACAAAGAGAAATAGATGAAACGAACGATACTAAATGGCAAAGCAGTCGACTGTATTCACGAAAATGACAGAACAAAGAGAGAAAAAATGAAACGAACGATACTAAATGGCAATGTAGTCTACTGTATTCACGAAAAATAACAGAACAAAGAAAAAAATAAATAAACGAATGATACTAAATGGCAAAGCAGTCTACTGTATTTACGAAAATGACAATGAGAAAGAAATAATTTTAAAAATTTTGTTTACCGGTTAAGGATTAAAACAAACAAATGTGCTAGACACCATGGATCATACAGCACTATTGAAAAAGTATTGTAGCAAAAAAGGGGCAGAACTGAGTTAACGATTAGGATCAGTGGGCAGAAGGAGATGAAGAAGAGAAGGAAAAGGGAAGGAGGAGAAGAAAAGACCCCGAAAAATTAGTTAAGGCGAGGGCTGATCCCCTCCACTGGGCCTCAGTCTCTGTCTCCTAGCCCCACCCCCCACGACAACAACCGGCAAGAAATGGAGGTGGGGTGGGGGGTGGGGGGTAATTTTTTTATTGTTAAAGTTTTTGGAAGGATATGATATCTGTTAGTTATTGTTTTGTGTGTGTGTGCATGTACATGTGTACACGAATGTGTATGTATACGTGTATGTATATGCGTATGTGTGCTTGTATGTACGTATGTGTGTCTGTATTATTTCAACCATTAGTAACTCCCTTTATACTCCATTATCCCTCCCTTACCCCCCCTTCATCACATACCTCCTCCTCGCCCTAGGTTCCTCTTGAAGGGAAAGGGGGGGAGGAACACGCCCTCAGGGTCCTCCTCTATGGGTCGTCCCGGGGGCACGGTGGGCGGGGGGTCGTTGGGTCCGGCGATGGGCGTGGACCCCGGCAGGTCGAGGGCGGGGGTCATAGGCGTGGTCTGGGGATGGGGGGGGAGAGGAATGGTGGTAATATGTGTTTTTTTGGCTTTATTGTTTTGTTTATGTATATTTTTTTTTCTTCCATTTATGTTTTGGTTTTAAATATATATACATATATGTGTATATATATATATATATATATATATATATATATATATATATATATATATATATATATATATATATATATATATATACACACATACGTACATTATCATTGTTTGTTTACTATATATCATTACAATTTATAATTATCCATAATCCTATTGTCATATATAATTATTATATCTATAAATATAATCATACCAAAAAAACATTCATTATAATCTATGATTGTAATCTATAATTAATACATCAATTTTCTTCTGTTTCTTTCTATGTATTTCTATTTATCTATCTGACTCTTTGCTTAATAATCTAGTCTATTTCTCCAAGTTGTATTATTTTCTTTATTTTTTCTTCGTTAATTTCCATTATTGTTTGCTTAACTGTTTACTTTTTATTGCGTATTTTGTTTAGCTGTTTATTTGTTAATTTTGGTATATTTATTTTCGTATTCTTCATTTCATTACTACATTTATCGTTTCCTTTATTTATTGTCTAATTAACTCACTCACCTTCTTTATTTGTTTATTCGTCCTCCTTATTCGTTCCCTTGTTTATACCCTCACTTGTTTATATCCTCTCCTCCTCTCTCTTCTTCTCCTCTCTTCTCTCTTCCTCTCTCCTCTCTCTCTTTTCCCCTCCTCTCTCCTCTCCTCCTCTCCCCTCCCCCCTCCCCCCTCTCTTTTCTCCTCCCCTCTTCCCCTCTTCCCCTCCTCTCTCCTCCGCTCCTCTCTCCCCCCCCTCTTTTCTCTCCTCCTCTCCTCTCTCCTCCCCTCCTCCCCTCCTCTCCTCCTCTCTTCTCCCCTTCTCTCTCCTCCACTCCTCTCTCCTCCCCTCCTTTTTCCCTCCCCCTCTCTACTCTCTCTCTTTCCCTCCTCCTTCTTTTACATTTTTCTCAGCTGAACTCACTTCCCTTCCCCTCCTCTCTCCTCCGCTCCCCTCCCATCCCCTCCTCCCTACTTCCCTCCCCTCCTCTTTCCTCTCCACCCCTCCTCCCCTCCTCTTTTTCCTCCCCCTTTCTACTCTATCCTCTCTTCCTCCGCTCCTCTCTCCTCCCTTCCTCTTTTTCCTCCCCCTCTCTACTCTCCCCCCCCCCCTTTTTTTCTTCTGCCTAACTCACCTCCGACGGCGGAATGGTGAAGAGTTCTCCTTGGCCGAACTCCAAGTCGTCTGGCGTGGCGTTGCTGATCGGCTCTGGAAAGGGAGGAAGAGAAATAGAAGAGGAGGAGAGGAGGAGGGGGGGAGAGAGAAGGAGAGGAGGGGTGGAGGGGAGAGGAGGAGAGAGGAGGAGAGAAGGAGAGGAGGAGAGGAGGAGGAGAAATGGGAAAGGAGAGGAGGAGGAGAGAAGGAGAGGAGAAAGGAGGAGGAGAAATGGGAGAGGAGGAGAGAAGGAGAGGGGAGGAGGAGAGAGGAGGAGAGGAGGGGAGAGGAGGGAGAGGAGGAGAGAAGGAGAGGAGAGAGGAGGAGGAAGAGAAATAGAAGAAGAGGAGAGGAGGAGAGAATGAGAGGAGGAGAAATGGGAGAGGGAGGAAGAGAAATAGAAGAGGAGGAGAGGAGAGGAGGAGTAGAAATGGGAAAGTAGAAGAGGAGGAGAGGAGGAGGGAAGGAGAAAAGGAGAGGAGGAGAAATGGGAAAGGGGGAGAGGAGGGGAAAATGAGAAAAGAGGAGGAGGAGAAATGGGAAAGGAGGAGAGGGGGAGAGTAAAGAGAAGGAGAGGGGGAGAGTAAAGAGAAGGAGAGGAGGAGGAGAAATGGGAAAGGGGGAGAAGAGGAGAGGAGGAGAGAAGGAGAGAGGAGGAGGAGAGGAGAGAGGAGAAATGGGAAAGGGGGAGAGGAGGAGAGTAAAGAGGAGGGGAGAATGAGAGGAGATGAAGAGGAGAAATGGGAAAGGAGGAGACGAGGAGAGTAAATAGTAGGAGAGGAGAGAGGAGGAGAAATGGGAAAGGAAGAGAGGAGGAGAGGAGAGAGGAGGAGAAATGGGAAAGGTGGAGCAATGGGAAAGGAGGAGAGGAGGAGAGTAAAGAGGAGAGGAGAGAGGAGGAGAAATGGGAGAGGAGGAGAGGAGAGAGGAGAGAAGGAGAGGAGGAGGAGAAATGGAAAGGAGGAGAGGAAGAGAGTAAAGAGAAGAGGAGGAGAAATAGGAAAAAAGGATATGAAGAATGGAGGAGAGGAGGAGAGTAGAGAGGAGAGAGAAGGAGAGGAGGGGAGAAGAGAAGAGGAGAGGGGAGAGGAGAAGAGGAGGAGAGAAAGAGAAATTAGAGAGGAGAGAGGAGGAGAAAGAAAAATGGGAAATGAGGAGTGAAGAGGAGACAGGAGGGAAAAAAGAGAAATGAGAGAGGAAGAGAGGAGAGAAGGAGAGGAGGGGAAGAGAAATGGATGATCATTATTCAGTTAATAATATAGTATCAAACACAAATAAATACGTGCATATATGTGGGTGCGTGCAACCCCCCCCCTCCCTCCTCCTCCTCCCCCTCTACCCCCCCTCTCCCTCTTTCATCCCTCTTATCCCCCCACCACCCTTACCCCTTCCCCCCCACGCACCTCCTTTGCCACCACCCACCCTTACCCCTTCCCTCCCGCGCACCTCCTCTACCCCCCCTCACCCACGCACCTCCTATACCCCCTACCCCAACGCACCTCCTCTACCCCCTCCCCCCACGCACCTCCTCCACGCCCCACCCATACGCACCTCCTCTAACCCCCTCCCCCCACGCACCTCCTCCACACCCCCTCCCCATGCCCCTCTTCTACCTCCTTCCCCCCAACACGCACCTCCTCTACCCCCCACCCACCCCCCACCCACCCCCCCACTCACCCGAACACGACGGCGGTGGGATCTCCAGCTCCATATGCGTGGGTTTCGGCCTCGCCTGGGAATCCTTCGCCATCCTCCTGACCACGTGGGGGATGCCCCTGTGGGCGGAGGATGGCCACGCCCCCCGTTTCCTGAAGGCGTGGTGGAGCTCCCCCGTCGCCCGCTTGCCTAAGGGGCGCACTTCCAGGGTCACGTCGCGGCTGACGATGTATCCTGCCTGGTGGGGGGTGAGGGGATGGGAGGGATGAGAGGAGGGAGGGAGGGGAGGGGAGGGGAGGGGAGGGGAGGGGAAGGGATGGGAGAAGGGAGGAGGGAAGGGACAGGAGGGAGGGAGGGGAGGGGATGGGAGGAGGGAAGGGAGAGAAAGGGGAGGGGGAGGGGAGGGGAGGGAGGGGGAAAGGGGAGGGGGAAGGGATGGGAGGAGGGAAAGGGAGGGGAGGGAGGGGAAAGGGATGGGAGAAGGGAGGAGGGGAGGGAGGGGGGAAAGGGGAGGGGGAAGGGATGGGAGGAGGGAAAGGGAGGGGAGGGAGGGGAAAGGGATGGGAGAAGGGAGGAGGGAAGGGACAGGAGGGAGGGGGGAAAGGAGGGGAGGGAGGGGAGGAAGGGGAAGGAAGAGGAGGGAGGAGGGAGGGAGGGGGAAGGGATGGAGGGAGGGAGGAGGGATGGGGGAAGGTAGGGGGGAGCAAGGAAGGAGGAATTGGGGAAGGGAGGGGAAGGAGGGAGCGAGGGAATGAGGAAAGAAGGGAGGGAAGGTATATATAATAAATACATGGACTCTACTTAAATATCTAAACAAATAAATAAATGAATGTTTATACTTTACTTGAATTAGTAAATAAATGCTCAGTCTACTAAAACGAGCAAATAAATGGTCACAATCAGAAAATATTCCCTTCAATAAACGTTCAGAATCCACTACTATAGAACAAATATAAAAAAAATGCTCTAACAATCACCAAATATTGTGCTAAAAGTAAACCAAAAATGCTCACAATGGTGCCAGGTTTGCAGGCATTGAGGGCAGCCGTGATGTCGTCGTCCACGTGGATGTAGTGGCAGGTGGCGGGCGAAATGGCGGCGACGGACACGCCCCCTCGGGGACCCACGACCGTCATCTTGGCGCCGGGGGAGACGAGGTGCGACATTTTCTCCAGTTTCAGGTTGTAGTTTCTGGAATTAGTTTGAGCGTTAACTGGCACAGGGACAGATAATTAATGAAGGGGGTCTTTGGAGAAATAATTACTGAAGTCATGAGGACCCACGACTGTCATCTTAGCGCCGGGGGATAAGAGGTACGGCATTTTTTTTCAGTTTCCAGTTTCAGGTTGTAGTTTCTGGAATTAGTTTGAGCGTTAACTGGCACAGGGACAGATAATTAATGAAGGGGGTCTTTGGAGAAGAGTTAATGGCGCGAATCAAAAATAATTACTGAAGTCTCGAGGATCCACGAAGTCTCTTGGCGCCGAAGGATACGAGAAATTATTGTGACATTTTTTTTTCAGTTTCCAGTTTCGGGTTGTAGTTTCTAGAATAAATTTGAGTGGTAACTGGCACAGAGACAGGTGATTAATGAAGGGGGTCTTTGGAGAAAAGTTAATGGCGCGAATCAAAAATAATTACTGAGATCTCTTGGCGCCGGGGGAGACGAGGTGCGACATTTTCTCCAGTTTCAGGTTGTAGTTTCTGGAATTAGTTTGAGCGTTAACTGGCACGGGGACAGATAATTAATAAACGGGGTCTTTTGAGGAAAGTTAATGGCGCGAATCAGAAATAATTAATGAAATCACGAGGACCCACGAAGTTAATGGTGCGAATCAGAAATAATTACTGAAGTCTCGAGGACCCACGAAGTCTCTTGGCGCCGGGGGATACGAGGTGCGACATTTTCTTCAGTTTCAGGTTGTAGTTTCTGGAATTAGTTTGAGCGTTAACTGACACGGGGACAGATAATTAATAAACGTTTTTTTTTTTTTAGAAAAGTTAATGGCGCGAATCAGAAAT